CGCAGAAGTTAAACTAAATTGAGAGCAAAAGAGCAAGGCGATTTTGCAAGCAATTTATGTGAGATTTGAGTGTGCACTCCTGAAGATACTTGAACGAGATAGAAGAATCAGTTCCATTGTGTATTTCTTTTATTCTAGTTCAATTGTAGTAGGTGGTTTAAAACTGTACCTTTCAGCTTTCATAGAAGCAATTGTATTAGGTACCTAGAGTGTTCAAGTTATAAGCTAACTTGATGTTGTCGCAACAGTTGAGGCTGTGTGCCACAACGGGATTAGAGTTAATCCTTAGGTTTACAAAGAGTTTTGTAAATGCTGTTTTGGCTCAGCGATTTTAGTGGAAGTTTGGGAAAATCCTACTGAGTAGTAGGGCGTGGTTTTTCCACCTTTTGAGCCAGGTGTTTTCCACGTAAAAATCTCTGTGTTCTTTATTTTATGTACTTATTATTCCACAAACTGTAGTAGTTAGTACATCTAGAAGAACCAGGTTCTTCTAGAGCGAAAATTGGGTACCACACAAATCCCCCCCCCCCCTCTCTTGTGTGGTATTGACGTTTAGAACATCAGAGTTGTTCTCCACCATTTCAAGTCAGTTTTGGAGCTTTTTGGGAGATTTTGAAGAGGGATTCAAGGGATAACGTCTGGAGGTAAGATTTTTGAACCTAATAAACGATTCTATGGCATTATTTCGCGGATTAGGCTTGCAATTATGTAAATTAAGGGTTAAAATTTGGAAAACTAGAGCTTGGTATTGGAGACCTTGACTTGGGGATTTGAGGGGCCATTTGTGGTCGGATTTTGGGACTTTTGATATGTATGAACTCGTGGGGAGAAAAGGAGTCTAATGATGCAAAATTTAATGAATTCCGAGACGTGGGCTCGGGGGTCGGGTTTGGTTAATTTCGGATTTGCATTATTTTTCGATTGTTTTCGAGTGGGCTTTGTCCCCTTAGCATATTTTGATGGCTATGTACTGATTTTGACTAGATTTGGAGCATCCGTAGGCCGATTCTAGGGGCAAAGGCATCGCGAGCTAGAGTTTGGGCCGGATTGAGGTGAGTAATGATTTTAAATGTAGTCCTGAGGGTATGAAACCCCGGATTACACATCGTTGTGCTATGTTGAGATGACGCACACGCTAGATGACGAGCGTGGGGTCGTGCACCATTGGGGATTGTGACTTAGTCCATCCCGAATGATTGTTTTACCGCGTATTTGATTGAAAACTTTTTGCTATCATCATGTTTTGGGCTGAATGCCATATTTGGGCCTCGTGCCAACTATTTGGACCCTTAGGGGATTTTTACTGCTATTTTCTCACTGTCTTGATTTTAATATCTGTACTCAGTCATGCTATATTATACCTTTTCCAAAATGTCTGCCATGTTTACTTCGCTTAAAAATATTAATGATATTTTAAATGATATTTTGGGTTGAGCATCATGTTTTACTGTTGCCCGAGTGGCTTGTGAGATTTTGACTGAGCAAGGTCGAGGGACTATGTTGTGAGGATACTTTGGGGTCGGGCTGCACGCCGCAGCAGTGATATACTGATTATGATTATGAGGCCGAGGGCCTGAGTTGTACTCCACGAGGTGGCTTGATATGAGGCCGAGAGCCTATTAATTATGCCACGAGTGGTTTGATATTATGCTTGGGCCGTAAGGGGCCCCTCCCGGAGTCTGTACACCCCCTGTGAGCGCGGGTACCAATTGTGATATGAAATATAGCCCGAGGGGCTGGTGTTGTTCCATGTTATTACCCGAGGGGCTGATTCTGGTTACATTGTGCCGGAGGGGCATTTTATGTGTTTATCTTATATAGATGCCTTGTTATTTACTTGTTTAACTGTTGAAAAAGAGTTTTAAAGAAGCTTATAGTGAACTAAGGTGTTTTATGAGATTTTACTGTTAAATGCACTTTATTGACTTTACTCTGCCACTTTATAGCATGTTGTTGTGATTTTACGCGATTTCTTATCGCTCGATCTTCATTTATTGTTATTACTCACTGAGTTGGATTACTCACTTTACTCCCTGCACCCTGTGTGCAGACTCAGGCACTTCAGGTCCTGCTAGCGAGGGTTGATAGCTTCCAGCAGATTTTCGGAGTCCACTAGGTAGCTGCTCGGCATTCGCAGCCCAGTGTTTCTCCCTCTTATCATTATTTCTTTCCCTCGTACTAGATTTTGTAATAGACTGTGTAGTCCCTTTTCCACATTTTGAGACTTATGTTAGATGCTCATGACTGGTGACACCCCGATGTCGGGCTGTGTTGGTTTTTCTGCAAATTGTACTATTTCACTTCTATTTTGGGATTATTAGCATGTTAAAGATTTTAACTGTGCCCTTTTAATTGCTTAAAATGAATTGGTTGTTGTGTCGGCTGGCCTTGTCTTCACGAGAGGCGCCATCACGACCAGGTCTGGATTTAGGGTCGTGACACCCGAAGACCTAAACGTAAAACACATTCGTCATTCAATTTCACATAAAATTGATCACACTTATCTTGAACCAACTCCCTAAACATTAAAGAATGAATCAATTGTGCCTGGATAACAAGTCGAGGTAAATCAAGAAAATAGCCAAAACAGCTTTTCCTAAACATCCGAAGCTGGACATCAGTCAACTTTGACTGTAAAACTGATACGATGTCCACATTAGTGTATACTGTCCAATGAGTAATAGGAAAAAGGCTCACCAACTGGAATATAAATCTCCCAAGGCTACAAATAATTGACACGAATTAAAAACAAACAAATACAAACTAAATCTATTTTTGAAAGAAGATTCAACAATAGAAAAAAATATAAATGAAATCATATGTACCTTACAAACTTTGTCAAGAATTTTAACTTTTTCTGCCTTCTGAACCTTACTTTTCTTTGGTTTAACACCCAAATTCACTGCGTCCTCCACAGCATGTTTTCTCTTACCTTAAACATCATCCAATCTAACCCTTTTGCTTTTCTTTTTTTCAGATTGTCCAACAACATCCTTTCGAGATTTTAACACTGTCGGAACGATTTTGTCTTCACATATTTCGTTCATCAATCGATTTCTCAACTAAAACCATGATTGAATGAGTAGATAAACTCATCGACCTAGTTTCTCTTCTCACGTTGCTCGATTTTTCAATTGAAACCGGCTTTGAATAAGGTGATGAACTCATCGAACGAGTTTGTCGTGTCATATTGCTCTGTTTCACAATTGAAATTAGGTTCAATGAGAAATTTTTTAAAAAAAATTATGCGAACAAACAATTACAGAATTTTGTGAAGAAATTGGTACAAAACTCACCCAAAACTAACAAAATCATCTATAACAGATACCTACTATGAAATTTAACTAAACAATTCAGTCGCAAAAGCCTAAAAAAGCAACACTCTAAAAACACATGCAATCTGAAAAAATATACAAAATAAGAGATTTTCTACTCCAAATTACATGGAATCAGACGAAAATAATCGCAAATGTATCTTGTTTTATCATCAATTTCAGCAATTTTGGTTCAATTTAGCAAAAAACCGCATAATATATATATATANCCTAATGGAAATGAGAGGCCTTATCTCTTCATTTGTTGCTTTCTTTGATGCTTTCAGGGTATTTGGGAATATATATATATATATATATATATATATATATATATATAGGGAGAGAGAGAGAGTAAAAACTTAAAGAAGAGAACGGTGTCTGTATTACAAAAATACGGATACAAAAAAACTGACATTAATTGAAACCTTTTGGGCCCAAAATGACATTTGGGTCTTTTTTAGTAGATATTTTATTTTGGGCTATTTTTGGTTGAAAAAGTTTATAGAGTGACAGTTTGGGTAATTTTCCTACTAATAAACATATTCAATAGAGCGTGTATGTCAATTGTACTAACATGTACAACACGTCATGTGCTAGACTATTTATTGCTTGACATGTGTTATTTGTGGGTCCCATTTACACAATTTATTCATCAACTTTTTTTTTTTTTTACTTTTCTTCTCCACTCAAACACCCTCCCTCCAAATCAGCAAAAGAAGCTATTGTTGGAAAAGCCTCCAACCAACCCCAAATCCAAAATAGCAGGCGACCCCTTTATCTCCATAATCTCCGTAATCATTGTCAGCAACCCATTCTTCAATCAAATCTCAAGAACCCAAATCAAATAAGAATAATTTGAAAGTTTTCAAAGGTTCTAAAACGCATAGACCCAATAAAGAGTCAAATGTTCTGAAAAGTTCTTCGTCAAATAGTGGCTGGTGTAGCAGTAAAGGAAGAGATTGAATTAGTGGTGAAAGAGATGATGCTTTTTTCAGCCTGTCTTCTGGTCGAAAAACAACTGAAAGTCATCTGAAAACTATCCCGGTAGAGAAGTTTGATTATTACAGCGACTTTATTCGTCGGGCTGCAATATGTCGTCGGGAAATCAACAATATCACAATGTATATAAAATTTGAAAGAGAATGAGAAGAACTTGATAAGAAAAAGGTGTACTGACGGGGGATAAAGGGGAGGGTTTACTAGTGAAGAGAAAAAAGAAAGGGGAGGGGAGTACTGACGAGTCCTTTTTTTCACTTTCTTTTTCATTTTTAAATTTTCTTTCTTTTAATTTTATTATTTTTAATTTGATTATTGTTTTCACGCCCATTTTCTACGTGATGGACACTCATTTTATCCACATCACCTATGTCAATGTCATATAAGCATAGTCAATAGTCAAAGTCGTTTATTTATACTCATTTCGTCAAGTTGAATTGTTCAAATAAGAAAAGTGTAAGTTTATGTATCAGGTTTATAAATTGGTACAAGTTTAAGTGGTCACGGGGTTATTTGGCCAATTAAAAATAATTTCAAATTATATTCATATCCAAATACAACTATAATTTAAAATACCATTTTTACTTAAATTTATTTTTCACCTTTTTCCGGAATTTCACAATTCTTATGTCCAAACGCCCACTATATAAGACATAAATTTTCCTCCCACCTACTAATGTGGGACAAGGAGTCAGAATTTGCTTAGCTCAATTTGTAAGGAGCTAGTAGTAGTATGTATGATAGAGTAGGTGCTGCTGGTGGACCAACCACCACCATAAAGTGGCCACCTCTACTAAAGAATTTGGCTGCTGCTATCAATGTCTCAATTTATTCAAAAACAAGGACTTCACCCAACATTCTTGACTTGTACAAAATCTTTATACAGTTCCCTCTACAGTTCTAATAAGTTAAACCCAACTGTCTTCTCATTTGTTATTAAACCTCAAGCCTGTAAAATTCTCCAAACAAAGCCATTGAATCATCTTCAAGACTCAACTTTTTTCCATTCCAATTCCAGTCAAGGTATGTTACAGTACAACTAGATGACACCCAATTCGTCAATGCTTTTGTCCTTTTTTTTTTTTTTTTTTTAATTTTGTTAAACTAGCTAAAAGTGAATTCAAGATTCAATTTTTTATTGCTATAGAAGGGATTTTTATTGATGAATTCTTTTATTTAACTGAATTGAGCAGAATGGTTATTGAAGATTCATGCAACTGAACTCAACTAGTTTAGGATTAAGGCGTAGTTGATTAATTGATCCATTGATTAAAATGCTTAGGATTAGAATTATGAGAAGGAGAATTAGAGTAGGAAAGTAGCAGCCGCACTCAAGGGTGTGTCACAATGGTCAATGAAGTGTGTTGAGAACCATATTGAGGTCTCAGGTTCAATTCGTATCCCGTGGAATTAGTCGAGGTGTGCGCAAGCTGCTGCAAACACCACGGTTATAAAAGGAAAAAGCAGGAGTTGCTTAGAAAAAATTGAGAAACAAAGAGGGATTGAAGAGGAAAATTGAGAGGAAAAATTACAATAGCCAGAAAAGAAGAGTAGAAAAGGAAACAAGAAGAGCTGATGGTTTGATGGAATATGAGAGAAGAATTAAGTATAGAGAAGAAATAAAAAATTATATTTGTGTAATTTTATGTTTGCATATGCCAAATCTAACTTCATTTCTACTGTATTTAGTTCATAGTAAAGTAGGTGCAAATTGTTCAACTGCCAAGACCAATTGGAATAGGCTCTAGACCGAGAGGATTAAAGAAGAATAGGAATATGTCGTTGAAGTTAAAAGTGCCTCTCGCCCTAAAGGAAGTATAATCCAAGCTAAGTCATACTAGACAACCTTTTACTTCAATTTTTCTTGCCACATTGAGGGAAATGTGGCTGTAGGACTCGAGTGGATGAATTCATAAGTTTGGGGAATTTGGCATTTAGATCAGCTAGGGTTATCATACTGAAGTTTTCTGATTGCAACCCTTCAATCTTAACAAAAAAGAGGGTGGTTATGTTTCTTGCTTGTCGAAGAACTTGATTTAGTTGAAAATTCCAATCAAATACCTAATTCTGAGTTATTACATCTTGTTTTAATTTGCATTCCACATTCACTTCTTCATATCATTACCTCGCCACCATTCTTTATTTTCTTTATTGTCATATAAAAGCTGAACTTTCCTTGTATGCAAACTCTACAATATTTATTTTTGTCCACCTAATTCATCTGTATCCATTATGAAAAAAGTGTTTTTTCCAACCAAGTCATCAGTATTCCTAGGTTTTGACCCTCTGTCATTCAAACTCTGTGAAGTTGCACTATGCGATCTACATTTTCCAATATTATTATAAGAACTACGTATGTCTTGTGTTCAGGGCTTCAGGTATGCTTGGGAAAGTTTTAGTTGTCTTGTTGGTTGCAGGTCTAGCATGGGCATTCGCGGCCCTCCAACCTCCACCTTCCAAAGTTTGTGGCTCTCCTGGTGGTCCATTAATTACTGGACCGAGAATCAAACTTAGGGATGGAAGACATCTAGCTTATAAGGAGCATGGTGTTCCCAAAGAAACCGCCAAATATAAGGTCATATATGCTCATAGCTTTGGCTCTTGCAGATATGATGCCGCTGTTGCACCTTTAGTACGTATTACATCAACTCTTGGTCAAACTTATAATTCTGCTTCTGTTAGAGTATAATCGAACTGAGATTGGAATGGATTATGTTGTTTCTTTCAGGAAACACTTGAAGAATTAGGGGCGTACGTTGTCTCTTTTGATAGACCTGGTTATGGGGAAAGCGATCCTGATCCAGAACGAACGATAAAAACTACAGCTTTGGATATGGAAGAGCTCGCTGATCAACTGGGACTTGGCCCTAAATTTTATGTTATGGGGTTTTCCATGGGTGGTCATTCAGTTTGGGGTTGCCTTAAGTACATCCCTAATCAGTATGTATAGTGTACAGAATGATCTTTTGCTTTTAAGCTCGACTTCTGAAATCATTTGGCATGAGCAACATGCTTCATGAAATCTCGTCGTTAACGTTCAACTGCCATGTCATCATTATCATAACCCATCAGTGACAAAATGTGAAAGACCTAAGAATTAGCAGAGAAGGAGGAAGTTTTCATTATATAGCAAAGCATTTCCAACAGGAAACAAACTGCTCTATAAAATTAGCAGATTTTCACCTTAACTGCTTGTCACTATGACACATATATTCACCTGAAAGGTATAGTGGTGTAACTGAAGAAGCGTAGATCTCGCTATTACACAACTTGACAGAATCAAAGTTCCCCTAGGTGATATTTTGCTATTTTCTTGTGGAACCTCGCTATTCTCACGAACAGCAACTAGAATTCCTGTAATTCCTGTATTTTCTGCTTTTTTTACAGGGCTACATTCTTTTCCTCTCTGTGGCAGTTCTTCCTATTTACTCATGAGATTTGATTGCTTTTCTCAAATATAAAGTTGCATTTTTTCTGGTGCTAATAGGTTGGCAGGAGTAGCTCTAGTTGCTCCCGTTGTCAATTACTGGTGGCCTGGATTTCCTGCTAATTTGTCTACAGAAGGATACAATCTACAGCTCCCACAGGACCAATGGGCGCTTCGAGTTGCACATTATGCACCTTGGCTAGTCTACTGGTGGAACACTCAGAAGTGGTTCCCATGCAATAGTGTTATAGCTGAAAAACCAAAAATGTCTCCCCCAGACTTAAAAGTTGCTTCCAGATCTGCTGAGCACGCAAGCAAAATTCAAAAACTTAAGGTAATCAGTTTCCTACCTGAATATGGATAATTTACTGTTAGATTACTCAGTTCACGATCCCTTGATCGTGTTTGATCCTTGTAATAAATTTTCTGGAAGAATTTTTGGAAATGGTAAGTGTCACGGCTTGGAGTTGTTTTGTTCCTGCCCAAAGTAAACTGGAGGTTTATTCCTGCTCATATTAAATGTTTCTTCCTTTTCCTTGGGTCTATCGGAAACAGCCTCTCTACCTTCACAAGGTAGGGGTAAGGTTTGCGTATACTCTACCCTCCCCAGACCTCACTATGTGGGATTACACTGGTTTGTTATTGTTGTTGTTGTATTAAATGTTTCTTCTGTTTTTAGTGAAACATTAGAATAACCACTATAGGGGCGACAAAACCACACGAGTTAGAATTTTTTATGTTTGTTGGACTAGGGTCTGTGGTGTTATGTTACATTTTGGCTTGAGGTGTTTGCTCTGCTCATAAGAATTTGTTTTTTCGAGTGGAAGTGAAAAGCAAGCCACTATACTGCTAGAATGTAATTGATTAGTACAAATAACCCACAATTCGGAATTACTTTCATGAGCTGTTACTTATGTGATGATCGTTGTTGGCTTAAAAGTTGCTGGCTTCTTTCCTCTGTAGGAATATGCTATAAAACAAGGAGTATACGAGTCCCTCCATCGTGACATGATGGTGGGGTTCGGGAAATGGGATTTTGATCCTATGGATATTAAGAACCCTTTCCTAAATGGTGAAGGCTCTGTCCACTTGTGGCATGGTGTTGAAGACTGGGTTGTGCCTGTTATATTACAGCGCTACGTCGCACAAAGGCTTCCATGGATACAATACCATGAAGTACCAAATGTTGGACATCTTCTTATTCATGATCGCGCCGTGAAGGAGGATATTTGGAAGACATTCTTGACCAGAGAGAAACAGCAGATGGTGCATTCTTAAATGGGAAGAAAGAGATTTAGAGGTTCCTTTGTAAGAAGACAGATTTTGTATCTTTTACTGGCATGATCCTATTGCATAAATATTAATCAAATATAAAGCTAGCTCGAAAGCTAGACTGCAAGTTTCGGAACATCGGTGGATAATCGGTTTGCCCCTCTACCCTAAACGAGAAATCCTCGAGAGCCAGTGATGCAAGTTTCGAAACTCAACCCTCTACCCTAAACGAGAAATCCTCGAGAGCCAGTGACGCAAGTTTCGAAACTCGATTGATAATGGATTTACCCCTCTACCCTTCTTTAAGACGGTTATGTGGTGCTTGAATGTGCATGTCGGTTTAAAACGTTTTAGGTTTGGCCTTGTGGCATAATCTAATGATTTAACTTTGATAATTGCTCTCAAATAGTGAGAAGCACTTTTATTTTTTGAATGGAAAGTGCAAAAATTTCACAAGCTAAAGATAATTTGACACTAACTTCAAAATTAAGCCCATATTAGTTGTATAGTATCTTCTTTCGACGGACTTTCTTTCACGTTTTGCTATGTTGGCTTTGAATCAAAGGACGTGATAGTATTGTTTTTCAAATAAGAAAAAGCTACTTGTATTTTACAAATTAATTTGAACTCGTGGTTAGTTGTATCTTAAGAGTCGACAACTAATTATTCAAGTGTTAGTACGCGTTTGGACATAAGAATTGTAAAATTCGAAAAAATGGTGAAATTTTTTTCAAGTGAAAATGGAATTTGAAATTTAGAATTGTGTTTGGACATAAATTTCAGTTTGGGTTGGTTTTGAAGTTTTGTGAGTGATTTGTGTGAAAATTTTGAAAAACAGCTTTTTACCGTTTTTCAAATTTTCAAAAATTTACAAAATGCATCTTCAAGCGAAAATTGAAAATTTTATGAACAAACGCTGATTTCGAAAAAAGTAAATTTTTTTGGAAAAATCTTCCATCAAATTTTATGTCCAAACGGGCACTTAGCATGTGTCAATTTCTCACATGTGTCAATTTCTCACACAATGTAGGGGTACAATTTGATAGAGATGACACATAAATTGAGAAATATTTAATGAGGATAAAACAATCAAAAATTATTCTTTCTTAAGGGGCGTGCACAAGAGAATCACGATACATATTATGAGACGGAGGGAAGAGTATATTATTAATTACAAACACACATATCAATTTGTAAGTGGAGTAAACTTAACTGTCTTCTTCTTCTGTTTTCAAAAATTAACTTTGTTTAATGTACTAGATTTGTGTGAATGTAGTTTACAGCCTTGTTTGACCTTTACCGTTAGTTTTAGGATTTAGGATACAAGATTAGGACTATATCTGTTAAGTACATATTACGAACTAGAATAGTTCAACCTCGATACATCAAGGACCAATTTTGATCATTTTCTCTATATGGTATTAATTAACACTTTGACTTGGGGTGTTTAGCTCTTAAATTTTTTATTTTGTTTACGAGTGAAAGTGTGAGATGTTGGTTATGGCAGGTATGAAAAGAGGTAGACGGCTTAAGAAGATTGGGGATAGGTGATCAGGCAGGACATGCCGCGGCTTAAGATTTCCGAAGACATGGCACTTGATAGGAAGGTATGGAAGTCGAGCATTAGGGTTGAAGGTTAGGAGGTAGTTGAGCGTTTTTCTACTTCGTACCGAGTGTGAGGCTAGTCTGATAGTGTTTTGTCTTAGACTGCTAGTGGTTAATATAGTGTTCACTATTTTTCCTTTTTTCATAGTACTGGACTTTTATTACTGGTTATTGTTATTGCTTTTCCATCTATTTCCGGGCTCTTACGATGTTGTTATTATTTTTTTTACTTTCTGTTACCGCTACTTATCTATTGTCTCTTTTCGTCTTCTTGAGCCGAAGGTCAATCGGAAACAGCCTCTTTACCCTTCAGGGTAGGGGTAAGGTATGCGTACACACTATCCAATTTTACTGAGTTGTTGTTGTTTACGAGAGGAAGTGAAAATACGTCAATCCTATTGCACAAAATTAATCAAATATAAAGCTGCTTGGACTACATATGAGTATGCGATTCTCTAAAAGCGTAAAAGAAGCAACTTTGAAGACTTTTATTTCATTTGCTCAAAGATGAAAGAGTACACAGCTAATTCAAATGAAAAACAATACAGGAACCTAAGCTACAAACAAAAGCTTTGAATTCATATTTCATCCAAACTAAAACCAGTTTAAAATGGCAGCCTCCACCTTTTAAAGGCTAAAGAGGCTGCAACACTTGGATCTCAAGACTTAGAGATACCCCGAGAATTGAGCACATTCGAACTAAAAAATTTGATCTTTTACTTGGGCAATCCAGTTGCAGGGTCGAGGAGAGCATGGCTGTCGTCCGTCAGCAAAACTGGACCTCTACCTGGTCTTGTGCAGATGAAGTAGCTAATTTCACCCTTGTATTTCTGAGCTGGAACTTTGTCCTTAATTTCAGGTGGAGGCGGCAATGCTTCCACATCCTTTATATCCTGAATCCCAGCATCCTTCAGAATTGACTTATCGCCTATGACATAGCTAGAGAGAAGGGAAAAAGAACAATGAGGAGCAGTGAAGATGGTTTGGTTGCATGTTGATAACACAAGGTCCAGAATACACATCATGGCGGGCAGGGGCGGATGCATGCACGTTTAACAAGCAGTATCACGTGACACCGTTTCGTCGAATTTTTTTATTAAATATATGTATTAATACTGTGAGGACACAGATAAGTAGGAAAAAATGACACCATCTAACATAAATTGTCTTTTAATGTGTTGGTTATGTACTTGATTTTGCTCTAGGAGATCAAAGGTTCAAACCTCAACTAGCACATTTTTTTGTAAATATTTGAGAGAGTCTCTATGGTTAAAAATTGTGATGAAGTAGAATTGAACTAATGACCATTTTTACTTAAGACTCAACAAAACCAATAAACTAAGACTATTTCTTGGTTAGAAGTATGATAATTAAAGCTATTATTCCCGTCTTCTATAAATTTCGATACCGCTTACAAAAATTCCTATGTACGCCCCTGATAGCGGGGTGTGTTGGTACGGAGGAAAATATTTTATTTTCTAGTGTTTGGTTGGCAGAAAATACTTTCTAGGGAAAATATTTTCCAATACTTTTCTGCATAAATCATTTTCCTTCACAATTATCTCAATTCGTAACTTTATATCACTGCTTTAACTAGCACTTAGACATTATAATCAATCTTTAATACTCAAAATTTCGTCAAACCGTTATAGGTTTGTTAATATTATTGTCAATCTTTAATAAATATTTTTTTGCAAAATACTTTTTCATTCTCAAATCAAATACCGGAAAATATTTTCCATAAAAAAATAAGTTATTTCCTGAAAAATATTTTCTCGAAAATCACTTCCTTCGTACTTAGATTAGAACTTTGAATCTTTTAGATGGAACACATACCTGTTTAGATCAGTATCTGAATTTGGAGGGAAGTGGAAGAGAAGCCTCTGAAGCATAAGTGTGGCAGCCTTTCTGTTACGTGCAATTAGAACAGCATTTGGCCCAGCGTCGAAGGTGTATGCAACCTGTAAACATTCTTATGTTAACTAAAAATGGAATATGCATTTATTCATGCTAGATTACACCTACTTTTGACATCAAACTTGCAGGAGAAAGCGAAGAACTGAAATAATAGTTAGCAACAAGGCTAATTAGCCTGATACTGAATTGTCAATCAGAGTTCAAAAAGGTTTGAGATAACTCCAAACTTGTTATAGTGTCAAAACCAGCTCAAAAACGAAAAATTTCAATATTTGGATGCATTATGAGTTAGCAGAATCTTCAACACACGAAGTTTGGGGAGAGAGGTATGTCATGAAGTACGCAGTCACCACCCATTACGAATATTAAAAAAAGAAAAATCTCCGGAAAATGGATAATCATTATTCTGTTTAAAATAAGGGAAAATGTATGTTGTACCCTAAACTTGTCCCAAAAACTCACTTACACACTCAAACTTAGGTGACCCGTTCTATTACTTCAGTAAAAGAGAATAATAACCAGATCATGCAATTATCTATTAAAACAAGAGCATGATAAGGTAGAAAACCTGTGGAGTTCCTTCTGAACGGTTCCATTTCTCAACACAGCCAATTACCCTGAAAAGTTAACACACCATCAAAACTTGTTTCTCCCACTTTCGGTATAAGAGATCACAAAAATTACGTGATAACATAACTTAAGCTATAGACTGAAGTTAAGACAACTTGCCTATGAGATGTGTCATTCATGTAAAATATAGGAGGGCTAGTGTCCATGCAAACTGCATGAAATTGGTTGCTGTCGGCACAAGTCAGTTGAGCAAAAGTTGGAAAATCACGATTTTGTATAGCTTCTTCCATCTGAATAATGCGTTTTGGTACTACTTCCTGCAATATTTAATACAAAATGAAAAGTCAAACATCTGATACAATGTTACCAATTTAACAGAGATTACATTAAAAGAACTAATGAAAATAAGCTGGAGATCTTTTAGAATATTGTTTGAAGATGTGTCAAACTGCAAAAATCAAATGTAATCAAGAGTACGAGGAATACCTTTGCCCTGTGCTTTATAAGTGCACTGGTTTCAACAGTATCACGCATTCCTGAGGTACTACTTGTTTCCTTCTGCCGTGAGCTCACCTGAAGTACGTCACATAATAGCATATATTAAAGGGAGAAAGATCAAAAGGCACAAGTCGACTAGTTAGTGTCAAGATCAAATTGATTGCATCATCATCTATGCACACATCTTATTTTAGAAGATGATGCAAGTTCAGAATCCTGTTTATTTTGTGGAGCTGAAAACAAAAAATGCACCCAAAAGTTATTCCAATGATCAACGCTTGTGTATTTCAATTGACTAAACTTCATTAATTTATTATCAAGAATAATGAGTTACTGAAGCAGCTTAAAGTTAGTATTGGAGAACTAGGAATCAGTTATAAGTGCGAAGTTGGAAGTACAGTAGCAATAAGATTGCCATTTGGAAAGAAAGAAATAAAAACTGCAGAGCACGTACAAGTACACAAATATGTGGCACTTAAAGTTCTAGATTAGTTAGCAGGAAAATAAAAGCAGAATATTCTTTCTTTTTCCCTTCCAATTTCCCACTT